CCCACCTCCCTCCGGCTGAAATTATGAATGTACAGTAAGGCATAGTAATCATAGATAACACGGCAGGGTCCGTTACAGTTTGTTTTCATCTGATTTCAAATAAACAAAGTCTTGGCTTTCAGAATATTAAACTTGTTTCGGCAAATTTAGATGATAAATACAACTATGAAGCTTGTAACGGCATAATTACAAGCGGAGAACGGAGTAATTTAACGTTACAGCAGGCATAACAACAGCCGGTGTTTATTTTATTATTATATATAGTTGTTATTCATTTGTTTTAAAGCTCAATAAGGAAGATTTAAACTTTCACACACGTTGACCAGCGAAAAACTCTGCCCGGTTCCCTCGGCCCCCACCACGTTGAATAAACAGAAGGCTGCTTTTGTGGAGGAAGTTACAGCGCTACGTACAGGCTCGGCATATGTACTGCAGCTTTTTCCAGCGGTATCCATAAATCTCTTAATTTTGGCCTCAAAGTGCACCAGATTGATGCATTTAACTTCAATATAAAGAAAAACATCTTCTGTTGTAACAACAATAACATTATAAATAGTAACGTCGGGTTACGTATTGTAACCCTTGTTATATAAACACAGGCGGAGCCCTCTACTGGACTCTATGGGTACTACCTTATCATGCAAGCATTCACCTACTGAGATTTCTATAGACGTAGCCGGCCCCAGGGCGGGCTTACCTGAATGCGTGCGCATCTCACTTCCGTATAAAAGGAGGCCTCGCCTCCTGACCACTATCCTACACCACTCTTCAGCGAGCGGTATAGGACAGACAGTGCCCCCAAGGTAGAGGGCTCCGCCTGTGTTTATATAACAAGGGTTACAATACGTAACCCGACGTTATATCTCTCACAGGCTCCGCCCTCTACTGGACTCTATGGGTACAGTGGGCGGAGCCCCGATGTATGCACGCACTGTCGTCCAGCACACCGTTCCACCTCACTGTCCCTGACCGGCTTTAGCAGCCACTGCGCCTCACTCGCCTCTCCCTCGGTTGTAACCGTGGAGAAGTCCGGGCTGCGGCCAATAGAGCACACCCTGACGCGCTTGCCTCGCAAAAAAGTGTGCTCAAAAATAGTGCTGAGGACTCCCCTACATCTGCCCATAGGCAGACAGGGAAAGTCTGCAGCCCTGTATGGGTTCACTATGCACTCTCCCTCCTGAGTCCCTAAAGAGCACGGGGAGAACGCAAGTGCCCCCTATGTCCCCCCACTCCGCCACTGACCCTGTGCAGAGTGTGTAGGGACAATAATATGGAGGGCTCTCCCCCTCCTGCCCCCAGGCAGGTGAGGGGAGCCCTACAGCCCTGTAAGGGCCCAGAGCGCATTACATCACCCCGCGACCCTCCAGGGGTCCGGAGAAATGTAAGCGCATTTACGTCCGGGGAGGGGGTCAGATGCCCACTGACCCACAGCCCCCCCCCTCCTCACCAGTCCTGTGTTGCCGCAGCAAGTACAGACGATGAGAAAGAGCCAGACATATCCAAGAGCTAAAACTTTATGAAGGGGCCTGGCGTTGACCAAGACGCCGCCGTGCATATATCCTCCACACTCACACCGCTGAATAAGGCTGTTGATGCAGCCACAGCTCGTGTGGAGTGCGCACGGACCCCCCTGGGACAGGCTCTCCCTGCCTGCTTGTAGGCGTGTGCAATGGTTTCACAAAGCCAGCCTGCCAGGCGTTTCTTGGACAGAGCTTTTCCAGTCACCCCGCCCCCGAAGCACACAAACAGCTGTTCAGTGCGTCTCAGGGTAGCTGTGCGCTCTACATAATATGCTAATGCGCGCACCGGGCAGAGGAGGTGTAATTTAGCTTCTCTAGCCCCCCCATGGGGTGGAAGACTAAAACCCCCCAACTGAATAGCCCTCGACCTGAACTCACTCCTTAGGCTCTTGGGCACAAAGGAGGGGTTCGGTCTGAGTGTCGCCCCACTCTGGTCACCCCGAATCAATAAACAGCTCGGGTGCACCGACAGAGCGGTTAACTCGGACACTCTTTTGGCTGACGTTAAGGCAAGTAGCAACGCTGTCTTCCACGACAGTGCTTTCAGGGAGGAGAGCTCAAGAGGCTCAAATGGCCCCGTGACCAAGGCCTCGAGCACCAGCGGCAGGTCCCACTGTGGGGCGGAGGCGTGCACCACCGGGCGCAGCCTCCTGACCCCCTGTAAAAACCGCAACATCAGTGGATGAGAGAAGGCTGACCTGCCGTTGAACCCCTCATGACAGGACGAGATGGCTGCTGCATACACCTTCACTGTGGAATGAGCAAGCCCTCTGTCCACCAGTAACTGTAAGAAGGATAAAATAGAGCCCAACTCACAAGATAGGGGCTCTATTCCCCGCTCCTCACACCAATGCTGGAATCTCAACCACTTCGGCCTGTAACAGGCTGTGGTGGATTCTGCTCTAGCTGCCTGGATAGACTGAATAACGCTGTCAGACAATCCACCCTGTCTCAGCCTGTCCCTCTCAGGAGCCAAGCCTGAAGAGGACGGCCCAGAGTGGGTAACGCCCCGATTGCACCTGCCTCTTGAGACATTGCCCCCCAGAACTGGGGGATCGCCCAGCGCTGGCCCACCTTCATCTGTGTCATTTCTGAGTACCACGGAGCCCCGACGCGATCCGGTGCCACCAGAATGACTGCCAGACGTTCTCGCCTCACTCTCCCCAGGAGAGGGAGAATGAGACGCAGCGGTGGAAAGGCGTATAGCAGCTTTTTTGGCCATGGCTCGTGTGCAAACGCGTCCACCCCCAAAGGCGGGTCGTCGCTCAGGGCCATGGAAAACCACAGGGCACAGTGGCTGTTGCGCCGGCTGGCGAACAGGTCCACTTCCGCTCTCCCGAACTGGGCCCAGATCTGCTTCACCACCTCCGGGTGAAGCGTCCATTCGCCTGGCAGGGGGCCGCCCCTCGACATGAGGTCGGCCCCCCTGTTCTCTAGTCCCGGGATATGGAGGGCTCTCAGAGATAATACCACCTCTGATGCCCATAACCACAGCCTCTCCGCTGTGGCCAACAAGGCGGCGGAGCGGACTCCGCCCTGCCTGTTGATATAAGCCACTGTGGTGCTGTTGTCGCTCCTGACCAATACATGTCTCCCTTGAATTAGGGGCATGAAATGCTGGAGGACTAACACTACCGCCCGTAGCTCTAGGAGGTTGCTGTGTCGTGTTTCTGTTAGAGACCAGCGCCCACCTATAGCCCTCTTCAGGCAGGTCCCTCCCCATCCTGTTCTGGATGCGTCCGTGAACACTGTGATGTAGGAGGTTACCCGCCCCAGTGGAGACCCCCTCCGGAGGCGCCCGGGAGACCCCCAGAACCGGAGGTTGCCCTCCACTGAGGGGGGGATGGTCACCAGCTGCCGTTTGTGCCTCTTGGGATCCAAACGCAGACTGGAAAACCACCTCTGCAGGCGGCGCATATGCAATAACCCCAACGGGACCACAACGTGAGCAGCCGCCATGAGACCCAGAGTCTGCATGACAGCTAAAGCTGTCACTGTTGCCCCCTGTTGCAGCCTGTGCACCGCCCTGAGAAGGGACGCACGCCTGTTCTCTGACAGGGTGGCACGCAGCGCGCCTGCATCGAGCCCCACTCCCAAATACAACGCCTGTTGGTGAGGTATGGGGGTGCTCTTTCGCCAATTGATTGCAAAGCCTAATTTGGTTAGGTGTGTGATCAATTGTGCTGTGCAACACATTGCCTGTTCCCGGGACCCAGCCATGACTATGAGGTCGTCTATATAAAAGAAAACTCTCATGCCCTGGGCGCGCAGCGGTTGAAGCGCTGTGGCCACACATTTGCTGAATGTGCGTGGGGATAGGGAGTAGCCGAACGGGAGTCTGTTGTACTCGTAGGCTATCCCTTGAAAGGCAAAACGCAGATATTTCCTGTGCTCTGGCACAATCTCCACATGAAAATATGCGTCTTTCAGGTCGATGGTGGTGAACCAATCGCCCGGCTGCACTAGCCCCATTAACTGTTTGATAGTTAACATGCGAAATTTCCTGCGGCAAATGTGAAGATTCAGGCTGCGCAAATCTAGAATAGGTCTGAATTCCCCTGTCTTCTTGGAAACCAGGAAGTACATGGAATAAAAACCCCTTTCTTTTTGCTGAGGATGCACCACAGACACTGCCTGTTTCTGCACCAAAGCCTGAATCTCTGTTGAGAGGAAACCCATCTCCTCTTGGGATGATAAAATTACCTCTCGCATGCCTCTGAATGGAGGTGGGACGCTGCAAAACTGGAGTGAATAACCCCGTTTCAGCGTCCTGTCCATCCACTCTGACAGTACACAGCTGAGTTTCCATTCCCAATAATATTGAGTTAATGGACAAGCCCTTAGCTGTGGGGCCGCAGCTATAAAGCTGTGATACTCTCTGGTGACCCGCCGCCGCAAAATCCCCCGTGAAAGGAAGATTTGCCCATGGAGGGTCGACACAGAAAGGGCCGATTTTTTATTGAGGTCCCTGAACACACCGTCGCGCGCTCTTGTGTGAGCGCGCGCTCCACCCTAACGCTGTTCTCATTACCATGGTAACCAGCATTAACCGGAGTTTTTGTTGACGTATTGTGTTCACCTGAGGTCCCTGAACACACCATGGGCTCTTGAGAGAGCGCGAGCTCCGCCATAATGCAGCTCTTACCACTACGGTAAACTGTATTATTAGGAGCCTTTATTCTAGGCGTAGTGTGTTCCCTAACCATAATGCGCCGACTAGCAAGTCCCTGCACCCGCATAGCGCTACTATAGCACTTCCTGCGGTTTATCTCTCTCATCTGCGCATGCCCACTAGCTATCTCCTTTACAGGAGAAATAACCGGGGTAGCGAGTGGGGAATATGTACAGTCAACAATGTGTGTGAGTGCAGGATTGTGAAAACACATGACACTCAGACTTGGATACAGATCACCCTTTTCTTTATTAGTTTTCCTAATACAAGGGACCTGGGCATTGAACAGGGAGGAGGTGGGATTCACCCTAGCGTCCTGGGTGGAGAGACCCGATGAGACGCTTCCTCCCTCCGCCAGTCAGCTGCGTTTTGGCGGAGCTCCCCACCCGGCGGTTCTCTGCTGCTGCTGAGACTGCCGTGGCCGGGCAGCCCGCCCCCGTGAGTGCCGGTACGCTGGCCCCACGGGGCTGGTTGAAGAAGCGGAGGGTGCTACCGGCACGGGACTTTCGTACCGGCGTCTCTCCCTCCGTCTCACCGTTGCACTGCGCTCCGCCGCCCGCGGAGGACGCTGTGACACCTGGGGAGAAGCTAGCGGCAACATGCGGCTAAGCTGCAGCCTCTCTTCCTCCAGACGGCTGAAACGCTGGGTGACCGAGGCTATAGACCCAAAGAGCCCTTCCGTGGAAACGGGGGCTCCAAGGAGATCTGCTCGGTCCTTTTTGGGCAGCGCGGTGAGTCCCAGCCACACATGACGAGACGCCACTGTGGCTAAGGACATCACTCGCCCGGCTGCGGTGGCCACTCCATGGATCAGATTATTCATCTGACCTATGCAGCGGTCCGGATAATCCTCCCCGTCCTGAGACGGGAGAGCGGGGGCGTCTGCTCGAGGAGTAATCAAGGAGACGCCCAACACACCCAGATTATTCGCCGCAGCCGCCATCTGTGAACCGAGCCTGAATATTTTATCCAAATATTCTAAGGCTTCCCGGTCCCGCGGCAGCGGGGGCAGAGGTTTCTTCCCCTCCGCCCAACCAGCTGATCGTGGCAACAGATGGGCCGCCAGGCTCTCGTCGAGGGGGGGCACGCCAGCACACACCGTGTCTGATCGGCCCTGCACCCTGATAATGCCCGACACGTCCTCAATGGACGCCGCCATGTCGCCTCCACACACTGCCAGATGTCTGGCAACGGGGGCGAGACGAAAGCCGGCTGCGCCGGAAGCACCGGGCCGTAAAACCCCTGCCTAAGGCGGTTTACAGGCCTCGGTGGCAGCGGTGGGGGGAGCGGTAAGCCTACACCAGGGCTATTCAATTAGTTTGGAATGGGGGCCGGTTGATGAAAATGATCCAAAGCAAGGGGCCGGGAAAAAGATGGCTTGAAATATGAGCAATCATATTTAAGAGCTTCAGATACAGTAAATACTACAACAGCATAGTGGAGTGCATATATTGTGTTTAATTCAATCAAACAACATAGCCCCAAGGCCTTTATAGATCTAAATGGCAAGTTCAGAACTCAGTAGGCCTACATGTTTCATTTGATTTCATTTAGGTGAAATGATCTAACCATTCACGCAGAGATGCAATCAATGACAGGAGTTGTCACTACAGTATAGTAGGTGGGTTCGAAACCCGAGCCCGTCGAAGTTTTCAGGCATTGTCTACCCCTCTATCTCTCAATGTAACACCCTCTCTGGAATAAAGGCACTATGGCACAAAAAAAAAAAAAAAAAAATCTTAAAAAAAAAAAATTTATGACTTTTTAACATTATACTCAAAGGGCCAGTAAATATCACCCCGGGGCCGGATTTGGCCCGCGGGCCGCCAATTGAATAGCCCTGGCCTACACGCTCCGCTGCCTGGGTCATCACCGCTGGGAAGTCCAGTCGCGCAGACCTGAGTGCTGGGCCCTCCTGGCTGTCGGACCCGGGGGTGTCGGACAAGGAGATGTCGTCATCCTCCGTGAAGTCGACCACGCGGTCCCTCGGAAGGACGAACTCAAACGGCACGTCCTCCAGGTCGTCCATTTCCACCACCTCGAGGTCCACATCCTCTTCCTCTCCGTGCACCTGCGGGCCGAACTTCCTCGAGAAGTACTCCGCACGATGCCGGCGGTTTAGCATCGGGATCGAGCAGCAGGAAACACAGGCCGGTGTCTGGCCTGCTCCCTGCTCAGCGTGATCCTGTCCCAGGCACTGAAAACATTGGCGATGCGGGTCTGCTCCCGCAATCAGTCCAGGGCACGACGGGCAACTGCGATGCTCCAGGAGTGGCTCCATTTTCAACAATATCTCTCTCTACTTCCTTTCTCCCACTTGTACGTCTCGGACTCAGTGCTAGGTTACCACCTCCGCTCGCTGAAGAGTAAAGGATAGTGGTCAGGAGGCGAGGCCTCCTTTTATACGGAAGTGAGATGCGCACGCATTCAGGTAAGCCCGCCCCGGGGCCGGCTACGTCTATAGAAATCTCAGTAGGTGAATGCTTGCATGATAAGGTAGTACCCATAGAGTCCAGTAGAGGGCGGAGCCTGTGAGAGATATAACATAGCTGAACATGGTATTGCACATTTAGCTTTCAGTGTTACTGACCTGAGATGTTTTTATTACATGAATTAAGGTGACTGAGGCTTTTTAACATAGACTTTTCCAATGTCTGAGATGATAAATACAACTATGAAGCTTGTAACGGCATAATTACAAGCGGAGAACGGAGTAATTTAACGTTACAGCAGGCATAACAACAGCCGGTGTTTATTTTATTATTATATATATAGTTGTTATTCATTTGTTTTAAAGCTCAATAAGGAAGATTTAAACTTTCACACACGTTGACCAGCGAAAAACTCTGCCCGGTTCCCTCGGCCCCCACCACGTTGAATAAACAGAAGGCTGCTTTTGTGGAGGAAGTTACAGCGCTACGTACAGGCTCGGCATATGTACTGCAGCTTTTTCCAGCGGTATCCATACATCTCTTAATTTTGGCCTCAAAGTGCACCAGATTGATGCATTTAACTTCAATATAAAGAAAAACATCTTCTGTTGTAACAACAATAACATTATAAATAGTAACATAGCTGAACATGGTATTGCACATTTAGCTTTCAGTGTTACTGACCTGAGATGTTTTTATTACATGAATTAAGGTGACTGAGGCTTTTTAACATAGACTTTTCCAATGTCTGAGATGATAAATACAACTATGAAGCTTGTAACGGCATAATTACAAGCGGAGAACGGAGTAATTTAACGTTACAGCAGGCATAACAACAGCCGGTGTTTATTTTATTATTATATATAGTTGTTATTCATTTGTTTTAAAGCTCAATAAGGAAGATTTAAACTTTCACACACGTTGACCAGCGAAAAACTCTGCCCGGTTCCCTCGGCCCCCACCACGTTGAATAAACAGAAGGCTGCTTTTGTGGAGGAAGTTACAGCGCTACGTACAGGCTCGGCATATGTACTGCAGCTTTTTCCAGTGGTATCCATAAATCTCTTAATTTTGGCCTCAAAGTGCACCAGATTGATGCATTTAACTTCAATATAAAGAAAAACATCTTCTGTTGTAACAACAATAACATTATAAATAGTAACATAGCTGAACATGGTATTGCACATTTAGCTTTCAGTGTTACTGACCTGAGATGTTTTTATTACATGAATTAAGGTGACTGAGGCTTTTTAACATAGACTTTTCCAATGTCTGAGATGATAAATACAACTATGAAGCTTGTAACGGCATAATTACAAGCGGAGAACGGAGTAATTTAACGTTACAGCAGGCATAACAACAGCCGGTGTTTATTTTATTATTATATATAGTCGTTATTCATTTGTTTTAAAGCTCAATAAGGAAGATTTAAACTTTCACACACGTTGACCGGCGAAAAACTCTGCCCGGTTCCCTCGGCCCCCACCACGTTGAATAAACAGAAGGCTGCTTTTGTGGAGGAAGTTACAGCGCTACGTACAGGCTCGGCATATGTACTGCAGCTTTTTCCAGCGGTATCCATAAATCTCTTAATTTTGACCTCAAAGTGCACCAGATTGATGCATTTAACTTCAATATAAAGAAAAACATCTTCTGTTGTAACAACAATAACATTATAAATAGTAACATAGCTGAACATGGTATTGCACATTTAGCTTTCAGTGTTACTGACCTGAGATGTTTTTATTACATGAATTAAGGTGACTGAGGCTTTTTAACATAGACTTTTCCAATGTCTGAGATGATAAATACAACTATGAAGCTTGTAACGGCATAATTACAAGCGGAGAATGGAGTAATTTAACGTTACAGCAGGCATAACAACAGCCGGTGTTTATTTTATTATTATATATAGTTGTTATTCATTTGTTTTAAAGCTCAATAAGGAAGATTTAAACTTTCACACACGTTGACCAGCGAAAAACTCTGCCCGGTTCCCTCGGCCCCCCACCACGTTGAATAAACAGAAGGCTGCTTTTGTGGAGGAAGTTACAGCGCTACGTACAGGCTCGGCATATGTACTGCAGCTTTTTCCAGCGGTATCCATAAATCTCTTAATTTTGGCCTCAAAGTGCACCAGATTGATGCATTTAACTTCAATATAAAGAAAAACATCTTCTGTTGTAACAACAATAACATTATAAATAGTAACATAGCTGAACATGGTATTGCACATTTAGCTTTCAGTGTTACTGACCTGAGATGTTTTATTACATGAATTAAGGTGACTGAGGCTTTTTAACATAGACTTTTCCAATGTCTGAGATGATAAATACAACTATGAAGCTTGTAACGGCATAATTACAAGCGGAGAACGGAGTAATTTAACGTTACAGCAGGCATAACAACAGCCGGTGTTTATTTTATTATTATATATAGTTGTTATTCATTTGTTTTAAAGCTCAATAAGGAAGATTTAAACTTTCACACACGTTGACCAGCGAAAAACTCTGCCCGGTTCCCTCGGCCCCCACCACGTTGAATAAACAGAAGGCTGCTTTTGTGGAGGAAGTTACAGCGCTACGTACAGGCTCGGCATATGTACTGCAGCTTTTTCCAGTGGTATCCATAAATCTCTTAATTTTGGCCTCAAAGTGCACCAGATTGATGCATTTAACTTCAATATAAAGAAAAACATCTTCTGTTGTAACAACAATAACATTATAAATAGTAACATAGCTGAACATGGTATTGCACATTTAGCTTTCAGTGTTACTGACCTGAGATGTTTTTATTACATGAATTAAGGTGACTGAGGCTTTTTAACATAGACTTTTCCAATGTCTGAGATGATAAATACAACTATGAAGCTTGTAACGGCATAATTACAAGCGGAGAACGGAGTAATTTAACGTTACAGCAGGCATAACAACAGCCGGTGTTTATTTTATTATTATATATAGTCGTTATTCATTTGTTTTAAAGCTCAATAAGGAAGATTTAAACTTTCACACACGTTGACCGGCGAAAAACTCTGCCCGGTTCCCTCGGCCCCCACCACGTTGAATAAACAGAAGGCTGCTTGTGTGGAGGAAGTTACAGCGCTACGTACAGGCTCGGCATATGTACTGCAGCTTTTTCCAGCGGTATCCATAAATCTCTTAATTTTGACCTCAAAGTGCACCAGATTGATGCATTTAACTTCAATATAAAGAAAAACATCTTCTGTTGTAACAACAATAACATTATAAATAGTAACATAGCTGAACATGGTATTGCACATTTAGCTTTCAGTGTTACTGACCTGAGATGTTTTTATTACATGAATTAAGGTGACTGAGGCTTTTTAACATAGACTTTTCCAATGTCTGAGATGATAAATACAACTATGAAGCTTGTAACGGCATAATTACAAGCGGAGAACGGAGTAATTTAACGTTACAGCAGGCATAACAACAGCCGGTGTTTATTTTATTATTATATATAGTTGTTATTCATTTGTTTTAAAGCTCAATAAGGAAGATTTAAACTTTCACACACGTTGACCAGCGAAAAACTCTGCCCGGTTCCCTCGGCCCCCACCACGTTGAATAAACAGAAGGCTGCTTTTGTGGAGGAAGTTACAGCGCTACGTACAGGCTCGGCATATGTACTGCAGCTTTTTCCAGCGGTATCCATAAATCTCTTAATTTTGACCTCAAAGTGCACCAGATTGATGCATTTAACTTCAATATAAAGAAAAACATCTTCTGTTGTAACAACAATAACATTATAAATAGTAACATAGCTGAACATGGTATTGCACATTTAGCTTTCAGTGTTACTGACCTGAGATGTTTTTATTACATGAATTAAGGTGACTGAGGCTTTTTAACATAGACTTTTCCAATGTCTGAGATGATAAATACAACTATGAAGCTTGTAACGGCATAATTACAAGCGGAGAACGGAGTAATTTAACGTTACAGCAGGCATAACAACAGCCGGTGTTTATTTTATTATTATATATAGTTGTTATTCATTTGTTTTAAAGCTCAATAAGGAAGATTTAAACTTTCACACACGTTGACCAGCGAAAAACTCTGCCCGGTTCCCTCGGCCCCCACCACGTTGAATAAACAGAAGGCTGCTTTTGTGGAGGAAGTTACAGCGCTACGTACAGGCTCGGCATATGTACTGCAGCTTTTTCCAGCGGTATCCATAAATCTCTTAATTTTGACCTCAAAGTGCACCAGATTCAATATAAAGAAAAACATCTTCTGTTGTAACAACAATAACATTATAAATAGTAACATAGCTGAACATGGTATTGCACGTTTAGCTTTCAGTGTTACTGACCTGAGATGTTTTTATTACATGAATTAAGGTGACTGAGGCTTTTTAACATAGACTTTTCAGTGTCCCACATACCCACATACCGTTCACCATCCCCCACCCCCCTACTGTATGTTGATTTTTGACTTTGTTTGCCTACATGTAAATGGGTGGCATTTAGTACCTACCCCCCTCTGAGTGAATACCTGTTGTACCTGTCCGGGGCTAAGCCCATAGGACGATGCTCTGATGTCATCACCCTCGCACATTTGTCATATGTTTACAAAAAACGATGTTAACACTTTCTCGTTCTTAATATATGCTATATTTAGGGTCGATATGTGTTGAATTTACTTTAAAATAGCAGATCACTGTGACCGGATATAGTTTTTTCGACTTAGTGAACGTGTGTCTCTTCCTCCGCGGCTCCTCCGTGCAGAGAGTTTGCAGCGGTGTGTGTCAGCAACGTGCAGTCAGGGGAGGCACGGATTGGCCGTCGGGAGAGTCGGGACTTATTCATAGGCCAGCTGTGAGTTCTGGAGAATCACAGAACGGCCGGACGCCAACGGCCCGGTTCGCTTACGGCCGACAACACCCCCCGCCCCCCCCCCCGTTGACAATTCACGAGCGTCTAACCCTTACACCCCCCCCCCCCCCCGTCGCACCTTCTAACAGAGCC